TCATTAAAGACTAAAAATAATTAGTTTAAAAAAGATGAAAATCAAAGAAAAATATTTTATAAAAATTAAAATTAAAATTTATTTATTTTATAAAGATAAAAAAATATTTATAAATTTAAAAGGATGAAAACAAAGAAATTTTTTTAAAGAGACTAAAATCAAAATTATTAATTTTACAAAAACTAAAAATATATTTAAGTAAAAAAACTTAACTTAATGCGATGATTTTTATTATTTTTATCAAAACTTTCATTAGGTTGTTATACTCTGATAGATTATAATTAAATCTTCACACAGAGAAACTATTTAAAATTTTGCTAATTTATATTCAATGAATCCCACATCACAATTATTTTTTAATAAGGTAATTAATTATTTTTTATTTTATTTATTTTAAATACTTTTTGATCAAATTGTTAATTTTAGTATAATAATGACACTAAAATATAAAATTTATTTCACGTTTAGATTTAAATTATATTTTAATTTTTAAATTGTTTAATATTTTTTAATTTACATCTATCATAAAATTAAAAAATTGTAATTGTAACGACCCGGCTGGTCACTACACACTACACTGTACACTCACTACTGCGACGATCACATGTGGAGGAGAACAAGGTGTCAATTGGTTAGTTCTATGTGATTCTACCATTGTTGAGTCTCCTGTAAAGCAATGAATTTTGTAGGAAGAAGAAATTCATACCAATAACGGTAAGCATAATTAATTTGCCAACCAATTTGGTAAGAATTTGTCCAAATTTTATTGATCAATATGTGTTAAATATTTTATGTTTAGATATCATGGTCTGTAATATATTGTTATACCCGGAGTAGGCATCGAGGAAACTGAGGAGGGCATTCCCAGATGCTCCGTCGACCAACCTGTCAATGCTCGGCAAGGGGTATGAGTCCTTGGGGCATGCCTTGTTCAAGTCGGTGTAGTCGACGCACATGCGCCACTTCCCCGAGTTCTTCTTCACCAGGACCACGTTCGCCAGCCATGTGGTGTATCTGACCTCACGGATGAAGCCAGCGTTCAGCAGTTTCTGTGTCTCGGTTTTATCTTTGTAATTTTTAAAATATTGTTTTAATCTCTGAAACCACTAATAATACATCTAAAAATAACAAATTGAAAAAGTTATATAATATCAACGAAATTTAATGTAAAAGAAACACTAGTAAGTAGATTGTGTAAGACAATATTGATTTCTTTAAAAAATTGAATATAAGGATTAAAACAAATTTGTTATAGTTTTTATTTATTTAATAATGAGTAGTTATAGATAGAATTCAAAATGCATGTCTAATATTGAAAAGATCATGTCGTACCCTAGAAGACTTGCGTGAGTGTCTATGGATAAGTCCTTTAGAATAGTGCATTACACACCTCAAGAGTTTAAATTAGTTTGTGTTCTCAACATTCATGGACAACAATCTAAAAGACTTAAAGTTGTCTACAAAAATTCTTGATGAATGTGAGAGATGAGCACGAGACTATGACAACAAAGAGAACGCAACTTATGCACTACTGCGACGATCACATGTGGAGGAGAACAAGGTGTCAATTGGTTAGTTCTATGTGATTCTACCATTGTTGAGTCTCCTGTAAAGCAATGAATTTTGTAGGAAGAAGAAATTCATACCAATAACGGTAAGCATAATTAATTTGCCAACCAATTTGGTAAGAATTTGTCCAAATTTTATTGATCAATATGTGTTAAATATTTTATGTTTAGATATCATGGTCTGTAATATATTGTTATATTGGATTATTATGTTCAACTATGATATGTTAATTGATAATTAAATTACTTTGGGTTGTAACTACTTATTAAATGTGTGGTGCATGTTACATGATTCACAATCATGATTAGCACATTATATTGAAAGACTTTATATATTTAATTTTTTGTATTAAAAGTGTTTGAGGAGAATTAAATATTCATTTATTGTGTGAAAGTTTGTGGTGAAAAGGTGAAGAAAATAATTGTGGGGCATCATTTAGAGAAAAATAGTGTATACAATTAATATTATTTTTGAAAATCTATTCATAGTGAGAAAAATTATAATTTTTATGAGATGAAACTAACCTAGAACAATATAGATAAATAATTATGTTGATCTTAATGTGAATGATTTTTATGTGAGGATGAACATTTTTTCTCTAATTTTGGATATATTAATTATATATCTTGATGTTGCGCCCAGCGCCTGCCTGGCAGAGACTCAAGGAGTCTCGTGCGCCCAGCGGCCTAACCCGCGCCCAGCGTGGGGAAGGTAGAGACCTACTAAGGTCTCGCGCCCGACGCAATTCGTATTGCGCCCAACGCCCTCTTGGCAGAGACACCCAAAGAGCCTCCGCGCCCAGCGGGTCCAACCCCGCGCCTTTATTTTTGAAAATCTATTCATAGTGAGAAAAATTATAATTTTTATGAGATGAAACTAACCTAGAACAATATAGATAAATAATTATGTTGATCTTAATGTGAATGATTTTTATGTGAGGATGAACATTTTTTCTCTAATTTTGGATATATTAATTATATATCTTGATACCTTTATGATATAATGATATTAGTGATATGAGTTTTTTGAGTATAATTCTTGAAAGTTATAATCATTTATAACATGAGTTAGTGGAGAATTATGAGTAATATGATGTTATCCATATTATAATATTTTACATAACATGAGATGTTATAAAGATGCTATAAATTAATGGTATTTAAAATTGTGGATTTTCAATTGTATTAGAGAATATAATGATGATTAATTGAGTCTTGGATACATATGAGATAAAATCCACTAATGTTATGTCATTATATTTTATTGTAGTGAAATTAATTTGAGATCAACCAATAATAATTATTGAATTAGAGTTTGTTATTCTAAAAATGGTTGATCATGAGATTTAATGATGGAGAACCTCTTAACTAATATTTCATTGGGAATATAAAATTAAAATGATGTGATATACCATTTGCCTAAAAAGATTGAGAATTATTATGTGCAGTCAAGGGGTCTAAGCGAGTCGAGTTGGGTTAGGTTTGGATGAACCCCTTATCCAACCCAATCAAAATTTAACGGGTTGAGTTTGGTCTGGTTTGTGCATTTTTTTTAAAACCCAACCCAACCCAACTCGATCACGAACGGGTTGAGTTAGATTAATTGGGTTAAAAATTCTTGATGAATGTGAGAGATGAGCACGAGACTATGACAACAAAGAGAACGCAACTTATGCACTACTGCGACGATCACATGTGGAGGAGAACAAGGTGTCAATTGGTTAGTTCTATGTGATTCTACCATTGTTGAGTCTCCTGTAAAGCAATGAATTTTGTAGGAAGAAGAAATTCATACCAATAACGGTAAGCATAATTAATTTGCCAACCAATTTGGTAAGAATTTGTCCAAATTTTATTGATCAATATGTGTTAAATATTTTATGTTTAGATATCATGGTCTGTAATATATTGTTATATTGGATTATTATGTTCAACTATGATATGTTAATTGATAATTAAATTACTTTGGGTTGTAACTACTTATTAAATGTGTGGTGCATGTTACATGATTCACAATCATGATTAGCACATTATATTGAAAGACTTTATATATTTAATTTTTTGTATTAAAAGTGTTTGAGGAGAATTAAATATTCATTTATTGTGTGAAAGTTTGTGGTGAAAAGGTGAAGAAAATAATTGTGGGGCATCATTTAGAGAAAAATAGTGTATATAATTAATATTATTTTTGAAAATCTATTCATAGTGAGAAAAATTATAATTTTTATGAGATGAAACTAACCTAGAACAATATAGATAAATAATTATGTTGATCTTAATGTGAATGATTTTTATGTGAGGATGAACATTTTTTCTCTAATTTTGGATATATTAATTATATATCTTGATACCTTTATGATATAATGATATTAGTGATATGAGTTTTTTGAGTATAATTCTTGAAAGTTATAATCATTTATAACATGAGTTAGTGGAGAATTATGAGTAATATGATGTTATCCATATTATAATATTTTACATAACATGAGATGTTATAAAGATGCTATAAATTAATGGTATTTAAAATTGTGG